AAACTCAAAAGCAAGCACAATTTGATGCAAATAGATGTTTGTGACATAACCTCAAAATAAAGCGCTGACACGGAGAAGTAGAAAACTATGACAATCAAGGAGGCCATAAACGCGCCCTACAATAATTGTAGGGACGACTGACGATACGGGCCTAAGATATTGAATTATCATCGAAATATCATCACACCTAATCTCATGTACCAATTTTTTTCGAAGCAGGCCATGATTTAGTTGTCAGAAGATAAAATTAATAAGTATTTTTTGCATCTAAGGCGGGTCTGACTTTGACGTTAAATAATTTAAAGTATTAAAATTGTGTTTTAATATCACTAGTAGGTACGTTTTTTCCCAATCAAATCATAAATCTGACAAAAAAAATTGTCAAAACCTGTTGAAAGAGGCCGGTATTCGCTACTCAAATCAAGAAAAGTTTGACATGTTCGCGCTGTACTTGCAGTCACACAGAATCGCCGACATTACCTCTGCAAGGTACTTGGAGATGTACACCAAGCGACGGCAGCCTGATAAAAACCCAATTTAGAAGAATAGTAGTTAGTTTGATAAACCTAGAAGCGAATACAATACTGAAAATGAAAATCGCGTCAGAAACATTTTTTTAAGCTGTCAGTACAGAGAGTGTTAAATGAGAATAAGTACCATCCATACAAACCTACAATAGTTCAAGGACTGATTTTCCAAGGCAAACGCGCTTCTGTTAGTGGAATACTAGGAAGTCTAATGAAAATCCCGATTTTGTCAATCATGTCTTGAGGTCCGCTGACAGCAGGTTTGCGAATTGAGGACTGTGGAAAACCCTCACGAACTGGTACGAACAGACTTGGAACTAACGTTTGGTGTGGGGTGATTAGTAATTTAAGCTAACTTACCCTTTTTAATTGGGCACCTATTTGAATTTAGGTATTAATCATTTCAAGAAATCAACTTATTTATGGGATCATTTTTGTTTGACTACAACCTAAACGGACAGAAGTCCCTAGAGCTTTTGCGAAACCAGGTTGGGCCGGCTTTACGAGCTAATTTAACCGAGGATGAGTTTGGAAGAATCTGGTTTCAACAGGACGGATGTCCGGCTCACAATCCCATTCAAGTCAGGAACTTCTTAAGAGAGCAGTTTGATGAAACAATAATTTCATTCAATATCTTGGCCTCCTAGATCCCCTGACATTTCCCCCTTGAATTTTTACCCCTGAGGCTACAAAGAGAATGAGGCCTATGAATTTGATCCTCCTACGACCATAGAAATTTTGAGACAAATAATTTTGAGCACTGTTAGAAACATTAACAGAAATACACTAAAGCTAAGGTTGTACGAAAAACCACCAATTGTCAAAAATGTCTGGATGCAAATGGACCTTATTTTGCAAATCTGTAAATTAATACCCACTTACGTAATTAGATTTTACATTACAATTTTGTAAGATTTTTGCATAGCACGACCCCTGGTATACCATTTTAGATTTAAGGCTTGGATTTTATCCCGCCGAGAGGGTGAAGGTGACAAGATTGATAATGCGTCGAATTTTCTATGCCATTTATACGAAATTGGTCTTGTTTCGATTTCACTGGCCTAGCCTAGTATCTCTAATTCTCATTGATTAACACATTTTACACGAAGATAGCTAACCAAATGCTATATTCCCGCGTTCAAAAATGTATCGGATATAAAATGAGATACCATAGCGTAGACAGGCAATTTCCTACATAAAACGGGCTGTTCAATATCTCAATGTAATGCTTTCCTGATTCGTACCTACTAGTTGGACAAACCCATATGAGCGACTTTAAAACCTCACCTTTTTCGGTGTCCGCTTCAAGTAGAATATAAATATAAGCTCAACCCTGTTTGAGATCACATACCTTAGACATTGAGAAAACGATTACAGAGTGTATCTAACTAACGGGTGATATTCTACTAAGCATGCCCAACTTCTCATATGAGTTGAGGATTGGCTCATTACGGACGATCTCGGAAAGATGGTAGGGACTTGACCTGGCACACTAGATCGCTATCTACACTAAAACTAATAATGAGGGTCGAACTGACCGTTAACACTTCCATCTACCAGCATCACCAATTTATTTCAATTATACCCCACTGTTAATAGGTTATTAAAGGCTTGGTCGATTACCCTCATTCAAAAACGGTTATGATCTCGACGTTTGGACTTTGGACGCCTGATTTTTTGCAACAGATAGAGAACGAGCTAGTGTCCTCGGTCCTTGGAATATTTTAGCTGGAGAATGTTGGATTGGTACCTGTAAATGCCGCGTACAGACCGAGATTGTAACGCAAGCTAAGGCACATTTGCTTACAGATTTGGAGGTGTTCGAATCGGTGTGTACAGCGCGACCCAACATACGCCAACGGTTTCCAAGGTTGGCGTTGGCGTTCGCTCCTTGATCGGTGCATGACAGGGAGTTTTGATTTGGTCTGGACAGGATTTGTTGCGCTCCTAGTATTGAGTCATTTGTCTGCATTCGATGAGAGGAGAGAAATTTTAAAAATGCCCAACTTCACTTTGAAGTTCCTCTAGTAAGTGACTGCCACTATACAACGCCCTATTTTCAAATGGTGTTGTTACCCACCAACGTCTAGGCCGTTTCTTCTTTTTCTTGGATACTACAGCAGTAATTAGTCCTCGTCGCTCAACATTAGCACCGAACTTAACCCAATGCGGTCCAACTTGAAACTAAATTTAGATGTGGACGAGGGCATTCCAGTACCTTCCAACAACAAACGCCAACGTCACATATGTGCTTGCATTCGTTTGCTCTTCGTTGGACTTTCGGTCTGTTCGCGGCTTAAAACCCTTTGGAGTCTATCGGGACATAAATATACCAGTCTCTGAACACACACTATAGAAGTATTTGTTGATAGGTAGTCACATAACCTCACAGTTTACCGGTGAAGTCCGTCCAGCCAACACGTGCTTGCGTCCTGCTATATTCTGAAGTATTTGCAAGTGTATTATTGCCCTAACTGTATTGTGTCTGCTCTCTAAGGTTAGTAATAAGCAATGCTCTAGTTTTCCATGATAGTGTACTTATAGAACCTGTTATTTCAGTACTTTACACTGTGAGACACCTGGGTCCCAGCAGGCATTTTGAACGGGACACATTTGTCTCGGTGGATCTGTACAACAATGAGTAAAAGAATATTGACATAAATAGAACTTGAAGAAGAAGTTAATAGAATCATGGAAGATGGCTTGAGTGATGACGATTATGATCCATTTCATTGTAAAGACTCATCAGATGAAAATTATTGTCCCTAAGAGAGCGACAATAGCGAAGATGTTGAGAATTATTGTTCCTCAGAAAGCGACAATAACGAAGATGATGAAATGATCGCTGATGTTATAATAGTGATGATGAAATAAGTCAAGAAGGTAATGAGACAATCGAAAGTGAAAACGTCGTGGCACCAGATAGAGTAGTATTTTGGGGTAGCAGCTGTCAACAATTTTCTCCAAGATTCTGTATACCTGGCGAAGCAGCAGTTACTCCTTGCCTGCCGAGATAAATGAAGGAAGTCGATTTTTTCTTGAAAATTTTTCCTAGAAGCCTATTCATGCAGATTGCTAAATACACAAATGCCAGATTGAACATATTTGAGAAGGTTACCAAGAAAAAGAGAATTGGAACAGATTATCATGAAATAATGATTGTATTAGGAGTTTCTCTTGTAATATGCTACAATCGTGTTCCTGGATTCAATAATTACTGGGCTAATAATGACTCTTTGGGCAACACCGCCATAAAGAAGGCTATATCCAGATATCGCTGCAAATTATTATCATCAAAAATGTATTACAACAACCCTGAGAAGCCTACCGATGCTGGAAAGTTATATTATATCGAAGAAGTTGTCAACTGCCTCAAACACACATTCAACAAATATCGTTCTGACTCCACTTTCCACAGTATTGTCAATTACCAAATTCAAAGTGAGATCTTCCTTGAAACTGTACTTCCCATTAAAGCCTATAAAACGTGGCATAAAAATTTGGGTTCGCTCAGATTCAAAAACAGGATATGTCTATGATCTAAATATTTATGCAGGTAAAGATGTGACCGTCTTTGAAGGGACACTTGGCGAAAGAGTTGTTCTCAAATTATCAGACTGTATCAAAATTACGAATATCGTATTGACATTTGATAGGTTTTTCTCATCTGTGCACTTACTTGATACTATCAAGTTTCCTGCTGTCGGAACTCTGATGAGAAATCGTAAAAATGTTCCCAAATTTTCTGGAAACTTGGAACGAGAAGAAATTCAATTTCAGTGCAATGAAAACGGTACAATAGTTTGCAGATGGCAACACACAAAAGAAGTGTTGGCGATCAGTAACTACTCTAGTAACACGAACTATGAAATATGGCACCAAGAAAGAATTCTCCAGTCCGACAATGTTGAAGTTCTACGATGACCATATGGGAGGAGTAGATTTAACCAATCAATTTGCTGGCTTATACGACTTCGACAGAAGATCAAATAAGTGGTGGAAAAACTTTTTTTCAAACTCCTTATGATAGCTGCAAGAAATGCTCATATTCTCTACGATGTAAGACGCACAAAAACTTCATTCCTACCATTCCTGATTATAATAGCAGAAGATTTGATTGCGTTAGGAAGAAGTGGGGCAAGTGTAAAGAGAAAATCAGCAACATCTTTAGGGCGACCTAGTTCAAAAAAACGAAAACTTCAAAATGTGGGCGATCATTTACCTATTGAGGTACCCACAAGACGTCGCTGCTGCAGATGCAAAAGGAAATAAGAACAAAATCATTGTGTCAAATGTGCAATAATCCCCTATGCAAAAATTGCTTCACTCCTTACCATTTGCAATAATATTTCACATGTTGTTCAATATAATTTCAACGGAAATAATTGTTTTCAAGACACAGGGTCTACTACGTCCCACCTAAAATGTCTAGTGGGACATTATGTCCCGGCCCTTAGCGTAAAAAGGGCGTACCGTAATTCATAAATTTATCATTTCTTGATATAGTATCCACATTTACATAAAAGCGGACCTCAGATATATCACACGTATAAGAAAAATAAATCAGACTCCAAAGGGTTTTAATACGAATAAGACATGAAGATAACAAGTACGCACTATACTGTTGGACCAGCGAAAGATTGCAAGCCGAAAGAATGCGGACAAAAAATTGCGAAGTTGTCAGATGTTCTACATAAAATGCGGTCCATACATATTAACATATTTAAGATATAGAATTGTTCCGCTGAATTTGGCAATGTAGCTGGAAAACCCAGGCCGCAGGTAAACATCCGGTCGCTGATTGGTCCAAAACTCTTATCTTATCTGAAACTAGAATAACGTGCCGATGGCACGGTCATTTATAAACCTACTCCCATAGGCGTAGGCAGTTGGCAAATACTTTGAAAATATAATTTACTGTTTAGTGGTGATAATGGAATTCAAGCATGGGAAAGTTATTCACAGCCAGGCAAGGGAAATAATAGCAAACGTGATACGTGCTTGCGATGCAGAAGCGGCTAACAATACTTTCGTTTATCCACTGGTAGCTAGAAATGCAAGGGCGGCATATTATACGGGTGTTAGTGAACGAACTATAAGTAAAATTAGAAAAGAAGATAAAGACAGGCAAAATGCAACCTCCACACAGCCTTTAGCTTCTCCCGGAAAAAAGAGATCACGCCCTTCTGTGATCCAAAAAATTGATGGAGTCGATGTTTCCATTATTCGGAGAATGATAGAAAAATTTTACTGTGATTTTAAAGTGGTACCTACTTGTAGTAAACTTCTAATCAAACTGAAGGAAGAAATGGAATTTCCATTTGGTAAAGAATCGTTGAGGCTGCTTTTAAAAGCAAAAGGATTTTACTGGCGTAAATGCCACAACAAAAGGAAATTACTAATGGAAAGACCCAGTATTTTACATTGGCGATACAAGTATCTTAGGTCTATTAAAAAGTTCCGGGAAGAAGGAAGGCATATTATTTATTTGGACGAAACTTGGGTTGATAATGACCTCACTTTCAAGAAATGCTGGCAAAGCGAAGAAATTATGGGTGTCCTGAGCAATATAAGTTCTACAGGTAATAAAGTTTCTTTCACCTCGATTTTGCTTATTATACATTTTTCTCAATTTTGGAATATTCTTAATAAGTGCTCATTTAATTTGTCTAATTGAATACATAATCCCTTGCAAGTATTTTTTTCTCAAAAATATGTTTTTTATACATAGTGATTCAAAAAGGTGTTGGCAAACTTAAAATAACACTAAAATGAGGCTATTTATTCATTTCCAGGACGACTTATAATTGTTCATGCGGGTTCGCAAGATGGTTTTGTTCCTGGAGCCTGTCTCATTTTCAAGGCTGGCTGTGCCACTGGTGATTATCACGGTCAAATGAACCAAGAAAATTTCACGAAGTGGCTTACTGAAAAACTATTTCCTAACATTCCTCCTAATAGTATTATAATAATGGATAATGCACCTTACCATTCAGCTTTGGAAGACAAGCCTCCAACTAGATCTTCTCTAAAAAGAGACATCATCACGTGGTTGAGCAAAAAAGGTATAGAGCATGATCCTAATGCTAAAAAAATGGAGCTTTATGAAATAGCTTGTCTACATAGGCCACCATCTGATGAGAAAAATTATAAGATAGATAATTTAATAAGAAGTTTCGGACACACCCCACTTCGAACGCCACCCTATATGTGTCAGTTTAATCCCATAGAGATGATTTGGGCACAAGTAAAATTTTTCATTAGAAGCCATAATACAAGCGGCGAATTTACTATAAAAAAACTAGATGAAATTTCTAATAAGGCCATCGCTTCAGTAAGTGCCAGTGACTGGCAAAAGGTTATTGGACATGTTATAAAAATTGAAGATGAATATTGGGAAAAAGACAGTCTCATTCAAGAAATACAGGAAGAAATAATAATCAACATAGGAGGTGAAAGTGATAGCAATGACAGTTCCTCAGACAGTGATCATGACTCTAATCAGGATTGAAACTATACTAGATTGGCTACCTTTTAGAATTTTTAGATATTCATTTATTATACTATTGGTTTGTGGCTTTTAGTATCTCAGTAGAAAGTCTAATTCTATGTGTTGTTTATGGGTTATTTCATCAAGAAATTACTTTTTGTTTTCCTATATTTTTCTATTCAGTCAGATATTTTTGACTTGTTGTATTCTATTTTAGAAGAATGCATAATTTGTTTTGCTGTTCAATCATAATGCGTACATAGGAATATTACTTGTTGCCTAAAAAATATATTTATTTTGTTCTCAATATTCAGTGTTTGTGTATATTTATTTCTTATAATGTATGTTTGGTATCACGTCATTATGAATCGCAAAAAAATATTAATACTACCAGTTGTAATAAAATATAAATTCAATTAATAATTCAAGTCTCTCCGATCTCCGCCTATGACTCCATATAAAATCGTCTAATGGTAAGGTTTTTTCATCGCATTTCCCCCTTTCGTCCCTAGCAATCTTTGGCTGGTCGATCAATAATATATCCAACGAACGTACGGAGCAATCAATCATCTGACCGGCACGCGCCTCGTTCCTATTGGTCCGTTTTCAGTAGATAAGCCGCCAACTTAACAATAGCACTTTAATTGCTTCCAAATGTCGGTGGCGTGCGGTTGATTTTTTGTTCGTTTGGTGAGACAACTTTTAAAAGGATATTTCGACATGAGTGCCTTATTAGACGAGTACCAATTACCAAGAAAACGAACAAAAAGAGCTTTATCGGTTTCTGAAAAAGAAACTATTATAAATATTTATTTAGCTTCTCAGAAGCCCTATCTAATTGAAGCTCAGACATAACGTGAAGCCTTTGTTTCAAGAGCATCAGGTGAGGATTTAGCTTTTAAGTATAGTTTAAAATGTTTTGTAGTTTGATGTATTATTCTAAATAATAATAATAATAATAATAAACGTCTTTATTTCCAAATGGACTGATTATATAAAAAAATAGCCAAATACGGGCGAAGTTCAGCTGTAGCTGCTCTTCCACTTAACCCGCTATAAAAAAAGTCCGTACAAAAGGTGAGTGAGACCTACTTATTCTACACATTACAAATATTAAATGTATATGCATTGCCTACATTAATACATCTACTAAAATTAATCATAAACTTGTATCAATATTTTCCTGAGACATGGTTACTACTGCTGGGATAAGAGATATTTTTTTAATTGAGTTTTGAAACTTGAGATGCTCAGAGTTTTATATTGTACCGGAAGGGTGTTATAAACGGAACAAATTTGGTAGCTGAAGGATCGTTCAAATTGGGCTGTTCGGAATATCGGCGGTGTCAGCAACCCCTTGGATCTTATATTGATGTTATGCACATCTGTTCGAAATGTAACTTTTTCAAATAAGTAAGTGGGGGTCTTATACATAATTATTTTATGATATAATGTTGCGGCATGCAAAAACCTTCTTGTTTCCATGTTCAACCAATTCGCATCTTTCAACTTATGGGATATTCGGTCTCGTCTTCTGATGCCATATATTAATCTGAGGCAAGAATTCTGCGCAACCTGAATTTTTTGTTTGTAAGTGGCAGTTAAGCATGGGCCATACAACATATCAGAAAAATTGAAGTGCGAGAGCACCAACGACTCACATAGATTTATTTTGACTTTAACGGGAAGGTTACCTCTGTTGCCGTACAATATTTTTAAAGAGGAATATGCCTTACGAATGAGCGAATTTACATGTTTTTCAAATCTTAAATTTACATCCAATGTTACACCCAAGTTCTTTGCTTCACTGACAGTTTCAAGTTGTTGTGCATTGATGGTAAAGTTAATTGAATTAGTAACAGCCTGGCGCGCATGCTTTGGCAAAAATACAATTACTTTAGATTTGATAGAGTTAAGATGCAAACAATGTTCTTCGGCATTCTTTGTCAATAATGATAAATCTCTGTTGATGGTTGCACTCATAGTGTCCACATCACTGGGTAGAAAAGTATGATACAGCTGAGTGTCATCAGCATAGCAGTGCATTTTGCAAGTATTTAAGCCTTTGCCCAGGTATGAAGTATAAATTGCAAAAAGGAGCGGACCCATAATAGAGCCTTGCGGCACGCCTGATTTTAAGGTTAATACGTCAGAATAACTTCCCTCCAAGAAAACCTTTTGCTTTCTGCTCTTTAGATACTTACTGAAAAAGTTGACACTATCCGAATCGAGGCCTATAAAATGCAATATATTTAGGAGTAAATTAAAATTGATCGTATCGAAAGCTCGACTAAAATCCAACATTATCAAAACTGTACACCTTCCCTGATCAGTGGCTCTGATAATGTCATCTGTTACATGTAGAAGTGCAGTTGTACAGCTAAAATTCTTTCTAAAACCAGATTGATTTGGAGAAAGCAAAGACAACTTTGATAGATGTTCCATCAATTGCTTCTCAACCGCTTTTTCTAATAATTTTGACAATGCTGGTAAAATGCTTATTCCTAAATAATAGTTATTTTCTGTTAAATATCTTACCCACTGATATGATAGCTACTTCTGTTGCACGCATTTTGATTTTTAAAACTTATATTCAAATATTTTTATTTTTTATTAATGCATGTATATAATAATATATGCAAAATGTATTAATTTGTTTTCAGGAGCATCAATTATCAGGCGTATACAAAATTTTGGCAGAGCACAAAAGAAGCAACAGCCTTTCTCCTCCCAAAGGTTATCATAGAGCTAGAGTAGTTTTGGACAACGTTTCATAAGAAACTAAGAAAAATCCACGAATTTTTCTTCCGAAACGAACCATCCACATTGGACAAAATTTTGTTATCAGTAAACGACGACGACGATGACTTGAAAAGTTCGACGTTGGCTACATTAATGAAGGAACTTAATTTTCTGTAAGTGTTGTACAAAAGACTTTTGTTATTTATTTCTAGTTGAAACTAAAATACAAAACTAAAAAATATACACAAAAATAGTTAAGAATTTTTTATGTTCTGTATCATTCTTTATCTATACTTTATGACTAAACTAAATTTGCAATTTTTTAAGATGAATCACCTGAAATTCGTTATCGTATAATATGGTTCATTGAATTAACGAATTTAAAGATTTAATGTAATTTTTTGTTTTATAGGAAGGAAGCGAAATAGCATCTTGAAAGAAAAGGCCGAGATAATATGTTGAAGACGTAGATACTTAAGCCAAACCTGGAAGTATAGAGAAGAAGACAGCAAGATGACCTAGACGAGACTTGGCTCCATGCAAGGCACACTGTTAGCAAATTGGTGGATTCATCAGTTGAACATCCTCGGCAAGCCTTCCTGGAAGATCTCTCCACGGGATTAAAAAATCCTTTAGGGAAAGGAAAGCGGATAATTATCTTACTCATCGGATCTGATAATGGCTTCCTGGAAGACGGACTATTGGTATTTGAATCAAAACAAGCACTACCATGCAGATATGAATGCCAATTTATTTGAAAAATGGTTTGAAAATATAAGCCTTCTAGAAGAGAACGCTGTCATTGTTCAGGCCCCTCGGGACCTCTATCGTGGCCGGCTAGATCACCAGATTTAAATTCTATGGATTTCTTCTTCTGGGGTGATTTAAAACGATGCGTTCACAATACGCCAGTGGAAACTGTAGATGATCTTCGACAAAGAATTTTCCACCATAGCCAGGAAATGAAAAATAACATCCAAATGCTTTGGAGAGTGCAGCAAGGATTAATTCGTCGAGCTCGAGAGTGTGTTAGGCAAGGTGGTGCTCATTTTGAACAACTTTTGTAGTTATTTCCATTTATTAGTTTTGTTGCCATCCTCATTTGTTATTGTTAAAAACCAACGCTTCTCAGATATTATCCAAAGCAACTTGATTATTATGTTATAAAAATGTTTTATCATCATGGTACAAATAATGCATTGGAGCTTTTAAAAACAAATATCTTTAAAACTACTCGTATTAGCTTTAGGCACTTCTAACAAATAAACCTCTTTTGTTGTGGAAATACGAGAATATAAAATTTTTTAGGTCAGTTTTTGTATACAGGGCAGCACAAAAAGTACCGATATAGTGCTGTAAGTGGCGCCCTCTAGAAGTTTGGCCATAAAAGTAACAGATTTTATGTTTCTCATACTAGAGAACCTCTCTATATCGAGTTTTATGCCAAAATCTACGTAAGTACTTCTCTTTCCCTCAATGTGCGTGTTTCTTAGATTTCTCCTCAAACACCCACCATTTTAACAAACCTTTATTTGGAAAAGACGTTTGTAAAACCTAAAACATCTGCACTATATTTCCTATTTACAAACATAACGGTCAGAGCACTAGAAACACAAATAACGCAAACATTGAAAAAATAGATACCTGCACGAAGTTTTGATATGGATTACATAGATTGTGTGATGATATATCTGAGATTTTGGCGCATTGGTTAGAATATCTTTTAAAAGATAATGGATGGTGCATAAGCTCGCGCAAGACTACAAGTATATTTTTATTTCAGTCGAATGGTGTGAGTTCCTGCTTCAAATCTATAACACTGAGATACAGAACATATACAGTTACTTTCAACCTACCCCTCGCCTCACGCAACACCCAAAATTTTGAAAATTTCAAAATAGCTACAGGGTTCTATTTTGGACCTTTTTTTTTAAATGGAATGATTTGTCATTTCAAGGCTCATTATGAGTAATTGTAAAACCCTAGAATGCAAAATCACTACTTTTAAAATGGTGATCTGCTAGGACGTCAAAATTGAGTATGTTTGATGAAACTTCAAAATAAAGATGTTCTGAAATATTCAAGTAAAAAAGTCATATATACGATCAACTTTACGTCTGGATTATGTTCAGGGCTAGAAAACCCTATGGTCCCCGATCCAGTTTATTATCAATGCAGACCTGAGAAAAATATTCAACAATCATTTTTCTAAAATACAACATAGTATTCTAAATACGAGCTGTGGTTCAATGTCAATTCTTGCATCGTCCCTTTATATCTCTTGAAAGAAGTTCCAACTTTAAGTAAATAAGTCAAAATTACGTGCAAGTATTGATATATCTTCTTATATCACTAAGCAATTATTTTGTTACTCAGCTAAGTAGGTGGGTTTTAACTTAGGCTTCTCCAGTATCTTTCCACTCTTTAATTGGCTTACTATATCATTAGTTTCCGATAAACTCCTTTTCAAATGATCGATTTTTTTCTCCTTTCCGTGAAGCCTGGTTTCAAAGAATTTTTTCACATCATCGTATTCCATTAAAACCTGAATAAACTTATCTTTAGGGATATTGTATATCTCACAATAATCTATCGCGATATAGGTAAACTGATATTGGATGTTCCCAGTTGCTGTGAATAAAGATTCGCCAAACGTGTCACCATCTTCTATGTGACACAGCTCAGTGTTGTTGCGATACATGGCTACAGTACCACATTTTATAATGTAGACATTATCCATCAACTGTCCCTCTTTGACAATCGTATCACCTGGAGAGTAAAGTTTATTCTGCATTTCAGCTATCAGCGCACCAAGTTGTTCCCTGGGTATAACTTGAAGTACCGGCATCTTGGCCAAGAAGTTTCTGGCGCGATATAAAAGCATTTCAATTCTGAGATGTACCGAAAGTGTATCGAATATTTGTCTTTCACTGAAGTAATTCCCTTGGAGTTTGTACTTATAGTAATTTAACACCTTTACCCTCATTTGAGGAGGCAGATCCTTTGACTTGATGTACTCCTTCAACATTACAAGGAAATGTTCGTATCTGCTTTCTGATATATTCACCAAACCAAATAATCTCAACAAGTCAGCGATCATATAAAGTGTGTATAATCTTCCTATAAATGAAACTATGAACAGTGTTATCTCTTCGTTTGGCATAGTTATGTGATAGCCCCCATGAGATAATCCGAAAAAGTAGCAGCATGTCATTAGAAAGCCATGTCCGTACACTGTGGAAATACCAGAAAGAGTAACATTGTGTATGTTAGCTTGTCTCAACCAAGACTCCTCAGGATAATCTATGTGGTAAATCGTCCATGGGATGGAAATAGCCAGTGAAGTCATCATATGTAGCATTAGTGTCATTGTGCATAAGTGATCAACAGTAAAAGTGACAGTTTCAGGCATTCCAGAAACCACCAAAATGTCTCTGGTGGTTTTCTTGAGCGATTTCAGCCTGATTACGTAGCAGAATGATATTGAGTACCGATATAGAAAGTGAATATAATCATACTCGTCTGTTTCATCTATAGAAACTGTCACCATGACCGTACGCATAAACACGTGTAAGACTGGTCCAACTACTGCTATGAGGTCTGGTATGAAGAATGTCCTGACATAGTGCAAGCAGATCATTTTGTGGTCGATTACTATTGTTTTGGTTTTGTACTTGATGTAACCGATGAAAAAGAGGGAAACAACAGATATTGTTTGAATAGTAGCCAGAGCGGAAGCTGTAATTGGGTTCAGTACGTCATGTAAAGTGACTGCCACTGAGTAGTACACTGGTAGGATGACGAGCTGGGCCCCCCATGAAAAGAAAAACAGCAGGTCCAAGATGTAGCTTAGCTTGCTGAATGGATGTATCACGTACCTGTAAAGAGGGGACCATGTCATGATATTTTTTCTGTCATGGCGAAACGATTGTGAGTGAAGTGGAGAGTTTCGAGGTTCTTAGTGGAATGCGTTTATAATCTCCTATATATACAAGGTGAGTTTTAAATGTGGTCTCTATCCATCACTCTGTTATTTATTACGCAAGGTATCTGAAAAAGTTAAATACAAAAAGTGTAGGCAACAGTACGCTCCTTACTTGGAAATTCTACATGGTAATACATATGTAACTAAGGCCCGTGTCAGAACTCTATTTTGACGTTATGTCACAAACATCTATTTGCATCAAATTCTGCTTGCGTTTGAGTTATATCATGTTTCATCAGCCTGAAATTTCCTACAATTTTAAAAGAAAACATATCTTCACAATAGGAGAGCGCTGACGCTGACACGGGACAAGTGTAATCTAGAAATTTTTTAAGGAGAAAAAGGAGTATGACAATCAAGGAGGCCATAAACGAGCCCTACAATTGTAGGGACGACTGACGATACGGGCCTAAGTGATGACCCAAACATACATTTTTTAAATGGAAAGACCTATATTTTATTGCAGCTTCGGACAGGCTCTTTTAAATGAAGTAATTTGATGTCACATACTGTAGGGTTTTATTTCTCAATTGTTGAGATATATGATAGTCTAACGAAAAAACACACAACTTTGACAACCAGCACCTCCGCAACTGTTACAGCTAGACTTCTGAATTTTTGCAAGAACCGTATTGCCCCAAGTTCTCTTCCTATCTACTTAGCTTTTCAGTTTTCTCGAGAGACTATACAGGGTGGTTAAGAACGGAAAATGAACGATATCTCAAAATTTCCAAACGGGACACCTTGTATACTTTCAGTCTTCGATTTTCGTTTTAACAAGCTATTCTTGGATATAATGCTCATGGAGTTTGTACGAATGGTTTTTGAGTTACACTTGACCTTTTTGTAATTCGTCTATCAAGGTAAATGCAGAATATTACACTACTTTTCAAAATAAAAATAGCAGTTAGTAACATCAGATTAAAATTTGTGTATTTTTATTATAAATTAAATCTACTTTATCCAATAGAGTCGGAAAGTCAAGGAGGTATCGTTGTGCTTTAAGTAACTCAAAAACCAGTTGTTCGAACCCCTTAAGCCTTATATCAGAAACCAGCCTGAGAAAAGGAGAATCAACACGTTTGAAAGTATGCAGTGTCCCATTTGAAAATGTTGATAATTCATTCATGTGTTTATATATATGTATGTGTGGAAGCCAACCAGCAGAAATACGTATCGCTCGGGTTACCTATCCTATTCTGCTCAAATCCACTTTTTGCGGATTTTGCCCATTATGTTCCAATTTTTGTTATATATATATATATATATATATTCGCCTTTAGCTGGGTACTTCGAGAAAATTTAAGCAATGAGGACTCTTCATAGTTTTGTCGAAGTACTCAACTAAAGGCGGAAGCTTTATTTTTCACCTAACTGGTCTAGACTAACAAAATAAATTGAAAAAGTAGATAGATAGGGAGAAGATGTGGGATCATAAAATTTTTCTGACATAAAACTCAGTTCTCAAGCTATAACGAGATCAGTTACGGAGGTGCAAATTGTCAAAGTTAAGCGTTTTTTAATAGATTGCTCAATATCTCAACAGTTTGAAAATAGAAACCCAAAGTATGTTATATCAAACTGCTATATTTGGAAGGGCTTAACAGAATCTGTAATAGAATGTAAGTCGATCCAATTCACCTAGCGATGACCTTGAACGTTACCTTCAATATGAACTTCTAACTCATGTGAAGGTAAAGACGAAGCACACTATTGGCTACCATATTTGTGATTAACTTTTCAAGATAATATGCGTAACAAAAAACTCGCCCTGTATATAAATGTGAATAACTGACCTGTCTATCAGCGTTACGACTAAACCTCAATGCGGACAGATGTAACAATTTAAACAGCATCTCGAAAATAACGTTCCTGGAGAAAAATGTTGTGGAACAAACTTGTAAGGTTTTAAAGCATTCACCTAATCATGACCTTAAACGTTACCTTCAATATGACCTTCCAGCTCATGTGAAGGTAAAAAGAAACCTCTATTTTTGACATCGGACATAAAAGAGCAAACAATTCTATGTTCAAGTATGCCAATGACCTTGACTATGATCACCAAGGTCATTCGGAGATCAAAATCAAATGAATCTCTAAGGAGAAACTACTATTGTTAAACTATTGGATAAAAAATATTCATTGCACAAGTCACTATTGCATTACTTTGAATATCGAATTTTTGCGAGTTTCACAATGCAAAACGAATGACCTATACAGGTACTTTATTTGCACTACTTCCACGCGAGCGGAGTCGCGGGTTCAGTATAGTACTTCTGTATTTTCTTAAGTTTACCTATCACTTTTGTGCGCTTTTGATCTTTATTTTTATTTTTCTTTTTTAATTTTTCTTCATTCAAACGAGTATTTGCGGTTATTGAAGCTGGCAATATACCAGCTAATAGATCTTATAATATTTATAATTTCTCCTAAATTACTTGTGTGATTCAGATAAATCACTGTGATTCGACGTTAGGTTGTATCCAACTGAATTGCCCCAGGGGTGGCGCTATCAAATATTTTGGATTATAACTAACTATGATCAAGGAACCTTAAGATGAACAAAAATGTCCTAAATCGTGTTGATAAACAATAGATTCAGAGTGTGTATCTATAAAAATCAAGCGAATGTGAAACTAGCATAGATAAACTGGAAGGCATAAAATGTATTCAGATCCCATTTACGTCAAAACAAACATAAGCTTCTATTGACATATTTTACCTCCGTCAAAGGACCCATTTTTTAAGCCGGGATACTCTGTACCTTCATCCTGATGACATTCGTAGAGCGACGAATCTCGTTCATGAAGTGAGAAATGCACTTCATGAATTTCGCAATGAGCAGTGGAGCGGCTTTCTGGCGGGGATGCTTGAATCAAGTATTTCTCTCTAGAAAGTGGCAAAATCGCTCAGAAATGGAAGGCAAGAACAACTATCACATATTCATGATCCTGGAGGCATACTTTTCAGGACTGAGGATAAAGTGGAGGATCTTGCTGACGTCATGGAAAGGCAGTTCTCTCCCAATTATGATCTGAACAATGACCTTGACGAGGAACGGTGACTCCTTTTCAGAAGATTCTTCTACGGAAGACTCTTCAGATGAATCTCAGCATAGCACATCAACGGAATCCTCTGACATTCCGTTTTGCATAACATCAGAGCTCCAAGGCCACATTAAGTACCTAACGGTGCGTAAAGGACCTGGAGAGGATCAAATCACCAACAAAGCACTGAGGTTGTTTTCGCTCAAGGCGTTGACTTATCTGGTGGCAATAATCAATGCAATGCTCAGAACTCATTACTTTCCTAAGGCGTGGAAGGTCGCTGAAGTCACCATGATCCCAATGAAGGCAGGTTCGATATTTGTCGTCACCTTGAGAATTTCTCGTCAGATCACCATGTGATTCCTGACGTGCAATTCGGCGATCGGTCTGAGCATAGTACGGAGCTACAGACAGTTAGACTGGTGGAGCATGTAACCAGAGGGTTTACCATGAACAAAAGTACTGGTACCTTGCTTTTAGATGTATCAAAGGCATTTGACAAGGTGTGGCACATGTGCCTCTTGTATAAGCTCATCCAAAAGGGTTTTCCATTTTGGATACTAAAACTGTTGAAATCTTTTCTAGAAGGAAGGAAGTTTCGGATCAAAATTAACAATGTGTTGTCAACAACACGGCCCGTAAGAGCGGGTGTTCCTCACGGTTCGGTCTTAAGACCAATCCTTTATTCACTTTATATACATGACGTCCCTTGCCCCAGCAACTGTGAAGTATTATATCTCTATGCTGACGACGCTGCATTGCTAGCCCAGTCTTATTCTGGTAACAGGGTTCAAGACAGGCTGCAGAGTGCGGTGGAGGAACTATTAGAGTGGGCGGATCGGTGGGTGATCAAAATTAATATTTCGAAAACGCAGGCAATCTATTGTACTAAAAAACGTCGCGGTGCCCCCTCAGAGATATCAGTAAATGGAACTCGTATACCATGGGAGCAATCTGTCAGGTATCTTGGAGTCATCATTGACAAGGGGTTGACCTGGCAAAAACATACTGATATTTTGAAAACAAAATTCCAAATTATCTTTCGGCAGCTTTATCCTTTGTTGTGCAGAAATTCAAAATTAAGTTTTATCAACAAGATTCGCTTGTTTAAAATGGTCATAAGACCCGCAATCACCTACGCATGCGCGGCTTGGCGTTTTCTTGCCAAGACGCACATGCAGAGTCTGTAAGTCCTGCAAAACAGAACCCTACGCACAATTACTAACGCCCCTTGGTATGTCAAATGAGACCATTCACAGAGATCGTGATATCCCATATCTAATGTATTACGTAAAACAACAGGCGTTACCATCAAGCGGAATCGCACAGCAACCCTCTGTTGCCCGATTTAGTAGACTACACAGTCGAGCAAGTTCGCAAACATTCCAGGCCGCGCCTCGCACTGTGACCAAAATTAAATTGTAAATTCAGACCAGCCAAAATTATTTCAATATGCAAAACCGATCAAAATTATTTTTTGGAGTTACAAAATAATTCGAGTAGTCAAAGCAGTAATGCTTAAGCAATTTCAAATGATCTACTTCTTTTCTTTGCTCTATTTCTTCCTTCCTTTATTTCCTTCTTTCCCTTTTCCCTTAAACATGTTTGGTATCTGGGTAGCCAGACGTGACAGACTAACAGACCGGCGAGACTTAGGCCCGTAGCGTCAGTCATTCCAACAATTGTATTGTCATACTTCTTTCTCTCCTTCAAAAATTTCTAGATTGCACCTGTTCTGTGTCAGCGTCAGCGCTCTCCTATTATGAAGATATGTTTTCTTTTAAAATTGTAGGAAACTTCAGGCTGATAAAACATGATATAAATCAAAAGCATGCACAATTTGATGCAAATAGATATTTGTGACATAACCTCAAAATAGAGCGCTTACACGGAGAAGTAGGAAACTATGACAATCAAGGAGGCCATAAAGGCGTCCTACAATTGTAGGATCGACTGACTATATGGGCCTTAACTAAGAGCAGAGGTCCACCGGACCGCTCTGACGAATAATGACGAATAGTATACTCTGTACCTTGGAAACTAGCAGTGGGACTTATTACTTATCGAATTCTACATATCTATACGATTATATTCAATCGCTGAGTCCACAAAATCGACAAGTTGCTTTGGTTTCATTTTTATCAGCTTAGAGATATGGAATTAATTCTATTGACAATGTTATAGCTGACACCTTTGAGCTGTCCCATGCGCTGATTCAAGGTTAGGTGGAGAAAGAATCGCTATTTACTGATAATTTAATTATAATAGGGTTGTTGATATTCTCCAATTGTTGAAGAATATCATTTACTACATAACGCACCATTTCTTTGTTTACACGAAACAGTTCCACAAATCGCGTATATTCAATGGAAGACGGGTCCACGCTCTTCTCGAATCACTCTTAAAGGTTTTCCTTTCTGGGTACCTGAACGAATTCGAATAGAGTAGAAGGAGCCAAGCATATGGTATATGTTTACATTAAATTGTTTGCCTTAGTGGATACTTTTGACTCATTTGACTACATTGCCCCCAAAGTGACACCCTTGTATTATCACATCAACATAATAATAACACTTACCGATGGAAAGATCTACCTTCATTAAGCTTGGTACACTCTTTTCAAATTACGCAAGAAATATCACGGGCTGAAACTGTCTAGTACCACACCAGACACCACTTTCAGAAAATGACTCTAAAAATAAATGACAGAACTGTCAAATAACTAACTTATGCCATCTTCTAGTATGCACTTTCATCGGGACTACAGACTGAGACTTTGAAAAAACGTATGCTTGCTCCTTCTGCCTAGTCTGGTTTCGTTTGGTTTCCTCCAGAATTTGAACTGCATTTAAGCGCAAATAGTCTTGGGAGACTATAATATATTATTCGGATATAAATCAAAATTACTTTTGACCCAAACATTGAAATATCTCAAAAAATAGTTACACTAACCACAGAACATGACGGTTTGCACTCATTTGACATTTGATGCCCACAATTACCAGCTTAACAGGGTAAAATATTTCTGAATTCTATACTACACGTAGTCCCAGTGCAGACTTCTGAGAACACGTGTTTATATGAACTTTTCTACTTGAACTTCGTTGAGGAATTCGCACTTTTAATTATGGCCTGCCTTTAAGTAGCACCCTGTATAATGACTTATAAATTGCAAATGATTACATACTTATCACGATTCTTAACATGTCTGTAGAACTCGTTCCTCATCTCAGAAGTACCAGCAAAGAAACTGATGCATCTTCGGTTCTTCTCATCCAGTAAGCTCAAAATTTTCACCCATCGCTTGAACTTCATCCATCTAGATGCGCTGGGGGGCAAAGGCTGCAAGCCGCGTGTGGTCTTTTTCAATCCGCAACGATGTTTGGGTATATCTCGTTTATCTCTACCCATCACTGATTCGGATATTCGATAATGAAAGCACCGACGCGTTTGTGATAGTTCTGATGCCGTTTGACAGGTGTGTTTGATGAACTGTCAAAGTATGGTGTGACACGGTATGCCTGATGTTGGAAGGTGGGCTGATGCAGGGTGTTCTGTTTATTATCTCCAGCTTATTCTTGTAAATTGACAGTTGTTGCACTCACTATTCCTTGTCCTAGAGAGTTTCTCGAGTATTATACCACTTGATTTGATATGAAATTTCTCCTTATCTTAGATGTTCTCTCTTTTTATAACTTATTGGTATTCCTTCAGAGATGAAGGTTCTTACTCATATTGAAGATTTAAAGGTACACGAGTAGCAGCCACTGATGATCTTGAATGTCGCAATCAGGTCCCCTCGCAATCTTCGCTCAGCGAGTGTCTTCGAATTCATAGTCCACATGGCAAATGTCCAATCTCTTGTGGAATTCGCGTTATTTTACGTTGCACTCTTTCCATGAGTTCACTGTCTTTAACAAAATAGGGACCACATACGCTGTGTGCATGTACAAGTTTTGGTCGAATGAATCTAAGTGCATAATTCGATATAATCCAATAATGGGTAGCAGAGAGATAGGCAATCACAAACTTAACAATCTAGCAATTGAATCTAAGAGTATGTTTCGAAAGAGTTTTTTGTTCAGATGAGGAAGAATCATTAAAAAGTGAATAGCAGGCATATTCCATCCTACTACTGAATCATGTATTTGTATTTTATTTATAACCTGTTTTATTCAAGCCACAAAGTACACCTTTACTGCAACTAAAACGCATCACGTTTTACGTTTAGTTCTTTTGAAAATAATTAGAATTCATACAACCAACGTTTTCGCCCTATATACTCACATACACCTATTATTTTCCCCATCCATCTTTATTTCCTCAGGTTACACCCGTATCCGGATGTATGAGCATGTGTATCTACTTTTGTAGTTGCATATGTGCATTCATTTCGGGCCTGATGAAGCCAACCAGCAGAAATACGTATCGCTCGGGTTACCTATCCTATTTTCTGTTTTCTGCTCGAATCCACTTTCCTCCTTTTTGCGGATTTTGCCCATTATTTTCCTATTTTTTTGTTATTTTCCTATTTTTTTGTTATATATATATATATATATAACTTGAGACGTGGTCATTGTCGTCTAGACCAGTTAGGTGAAAAATTAAAGCTTCCGCTTTTTGTTGGGTACTTCGACAAGATTTAAGCAAAGAGGACTCTTTATACTTTATACGAGAGAATTAAAAAAAGTATAAAGAGTCCTCTTTGCTTAAATCTTGTCGAAGTACCCAACAAAAAGCGGAAGCTTTATATATATATATATATATATATATATACCCTTCCCCCTACAACCTCCAATCTGCGATTTTCAACCACTGCTAAAAAATTCCTGTAAATGATCATCAACATCAAAAAACGAAGTATTTAGCTCCGCCACCACTGGACCGAATTTCAGAGACTGCAAAGCTTTTGCGTCCTTGGCGTAGTAGTAACACTTCCGACGGAAATGAGTGACACAGGCGTTCATGATATACATGTCATATAACATCCAAAAAACATAATATCTCATTTTCGAAAACTTTCGCGGTTACAATACTTCCCCGTCAGTAGGCGTAGGAAGTAGAAAACATGTTGAAAAAAAGGACCTAAGTGGCCGATTCATATGTGTATGTTATCGCTAACGTTCACGTTTGCCGTATTTGTAATTGCCAAAACTCTCTCTTATGTGACTGAATATCCACTGAAAACATTATGCATAGGTCAGATTACGGCTCAAAGTAGGCTTTCCGCAACACAATGCCAAATGCGTCCTTTAAAAAGAAGTTCGTCATTGAACGAGGCAGCGAATGAGACCTAATGAATCCAGGTAATAGTGACGCGATTGGCGTTACCGAGGAAAAAGGAAAGCGGAAAAGCGGTTGAGGCTTAGCGAATCTATACCTGAAAAGTGCGAAAATGGAAGTCTTTCACCATGAAAATTAATCGAGAATATGCGCCGCCGCTCTCTAAAGAATTTGGTGTGGTTAGGCAAAGGAATTTGAGTATAATGGGAACTGACGGCGGGATGATTGGGTTTATTGTGGAAGGTTCCTAGAATAGAGTGCTTACGATAGCGAGGCAGTTACTTTTATTTTTCATATAGCAATTAATTTTTGACGTATTCTACCTTAACTAGCCACCCATATACTTTATTCCGGCATTGAAAAATAGACCTCAAACATCCTAGTCCCATCTGCGAGACAGTAGCAAAACACAAAAAATATCGGCAATATATTCACTTAAGTTCAGCGCATTTAAATCCTCTAAGAAAATATTAAGTTACCTATAGAACCGAGAAATTAAATGTATTAAGTTAGACAAACAGGCTCATACATAGACATTATTCTCTGCCCTTTTTGTAGTTACTGAAGATGTGACAACGTTGTTCCTTTCCACATTTTTGCAAGCTCCGTACGTTTTTCAGGCTTCAGTACGAATGAACCGCACGTGTACAGTGATTTTTTGCCATTGTATTGGTTTTTGTGACATTATTACGGTTCTTCTACAAAATGTTAACTTAGCACTAGCTGATAAATACTTGCTGTAACTCGTTTTGTAGTTGTACGTGTTGCCTAAACGTCAGAATGCTTCAGTTATCAATGTTTGACTCTGATGTGATGTAAAATCTGCTTCTAAGATAGCATTATTGGAGGTCTAAGCTATAAGTTTTATACTATACCTAGAAGGAAACGACAGTGTATTATAGGTGCATAGTGAGGATTTGTGTGCTAATAACATCTGTTGATGATAATTCCATTGGTTTCTTGTCTCAAATACACTTACTTGAGATTCAAAGCTAGAAATTAGTTACGCATTCACCTTTCCCTATTCATTCTTGAAATTACATAATCAAATTCGCTGAATTTTAAAAATGAGAGAGATAGGAAAAGAAAATCCCTGGTTGGTGAAGGAACTGGTGAGAAAATATGCTACATACAAGAATATTCATGAAAGTGAATAGGTTATTACAGTATTTTTTATTTCCAGTCATTTAAATTTTATAGAAATTTATTTTGCGATGTCAATAGAAAATACAAATTAGCGCCTAGATGTGAGGAATTGCGAAAATGTTTGATGTGTGATCCGTCAAACACAAAAAAACAGCAACATACAATAACATATGAATAACCCGTCGCGCACAGCTGATATATATATACAGGGTGTTTCATAATTATTGCGACAAAATGATAGGGGTTGTAGAGGGCATCAAAATGAACAATTTTGCCTTATAAACCCCTGTTCGGAAATATGCCGTTTGGGCTGCAGCAACAAAAAAAGATCAGTTTCTTGAAACAGCTTACCTACAGTAATTGCTCAAAGTGTCCTCCACCTTGCTCAATACACAGCTGTGCACGATTGTTCAATGATCGGCGAACTCTGTGGCATACCCCCGGTATGTCCTGAACATGTGCGGACGCGGCCGTCACTCATCCCAGTAGCTCTTGTTGGTTGGGAACAGGAGTTTCGTACACTAAAGCTTTCAGATGGCTCCAGAGAAAATAATTCAGTTGGGTCAGGTCGGGTGACCGAGCAGACCAAGGCACAGGGCCACCTCGGCCTATCCACCTATTTGGAAATTTGTCGTCCAAATACTGCCGCACTTGTAAAGAAAAGTGGGCTGGAGCGCCATCGTGTTGAAACCACATGTTGGCTCTTATGTTCAGTGGCACATTTTCTAATAGTTCCGGTAGCACATGCTGTAATAATCGACCTAAGCATGCCCATCCAAACGTGGTGGAAGCAAATATGGCCCGATGATATGCTCGTCCACAATACCGCACCAGATCTTAATTGAAAACTGATGTTGGTCTCTATGGATGGCTATGGCATGAGGGTTTTCTTCATCCCAAATGTGACTGTTACGGCTATTAAAATAACCGTCCTTTGTAAAACAGGACTCGTCAGTGAACAAAACGTAGCGACCAAAGTTTGGTTGCCTCAACTCCTGTTGCAGCCACCAACGACAAAAACGTCGACGCGGCAGATAGTCTTCTGGACCCATGGCTTGGACTTTTAAAAGGTGGTATGGGTGTAGTTGCTGGTCATGGAGAACCCGCCAAACAGTAGTTTGAGACGCTCCTATATCATGTGCAATAGCACGCACGCTTGTACGCGGATTGGCCTCTACATGATGCAGAATCGCTTCCTCAAATTCTACTGTGCGCCTCGTGAAGGGCCGCCCTGCTCCCGCGAGGTGTCTGATGCTGCCACTGACACGAAGACGTCCATGAAACCTTGCAAAAATGGCGTGATGCGGATAAGGGCGTTCTGGAAACCGTTGGGCGTAGATTCGCGAGGCTCGTCTTCCGTTACCACCAGCTTCTCCGTAAATTAAATGCATATCCGCAAGTTCCGCATACGAATAACGCTGCATTTTAACACTAAGGTACTGTTATTTACTATCTAGTTTGACGCACCACTCAGATAATTTAAATGAATCGGTGTGGAGAATTTACGATAACAAAAATGTGAACACAGCAGGCTTTTTTTACAAACCGGCGAGACCATGAAATGTGCTAGATGAACATTTTGCAGCTTGTGAATTTTTTGTTTCTCCTATGAGCTCTTAAGGTAAAATTAGCGGTAGTGCTCAAACGGCATATTTACGAACAGGGGTTTATAAGGCAAAATTGCATATTTTTATGCCCTCTACAACCCCTATCATTTTGTCGCAATAATTATGGAACACCCTGTATATATATATACTTCATTGGCAGCATATTCAGTAATAATTTCCTCACAAAGCAAACATCACTGATTTATACACATGCAGACCAATACACATAATCATCCAGATGCGATCTTGCTAATCAACCAACTTTCTTTCTTCCACATCTTCTATACAGACTACTCGGCTTCAAAAAACAGAGCAAGGGCTCTGCGTGCAGTTAAGTCATTCCACCATAGATGGACGCTCACAGCGATCATAGCGAGCAAACGTGTAATGAACTATTTGCACCCTAAAAACTACCGAGTCTGCAAAATGACATTTTATTATTTTGCTTTTGACGTTTCTTCAATAAATGCCTATTATCTTCTACTTCTTACGCCTCTGGGCAAGGAAGTATAGTAATTGCGTAAAATTTCAC